AAAGTGAGCGGCTGCTTCAGACACCGGCGAGGGCAAAGGATCCAGCATCAAAGCCGCCAATTAGTTTTGAAGTCGGGCTCAAGCCCTGGCGTTGCTCAGGCGAGGAGCAGCCGGGTTTGAGGGAGAGGAGGATGCTGCGATGGCTTTGCCTATTAAGCCAGGTTTAAAGCACAGAGGGGACTCTTCATTCCCACCCTCCCCGACAACACCGATGTGCCGCAAACCCGGCGTAAGGATGGCTCTGTCCCCCGGTGAGAGCGCGGTGCCCAGCCCCTCATCCGCTGGATGGCTCAGCCCAGCGAGAACGGAGTCCTTAGCTCTGAAATAAAAAGCCAGCTCCTAGGTTCTTGATCTCAAAAGGCAGAGCTCGGCAGCCAGCCCCTCTGCAGGAACCTGGAGCACACAGAAAGCTCTCTAAGACAGAACGGCATCGGTGGTTCTGATGGAAATTGAAAGCAAAGACGGTGAGGAGAGGGTGGTTTGGGTTTTTTTTATGGAGCTATTAATAAAGAGCTTTGTGGGCTGTGCAGCTCGGTGCCTTCAGCAGTCTGAGACATCAATTAACGGCCTTATACAATCATAGAATCACAGAATCAGAGAATGGTTTGAGTTGGAAGGGCCCATGGAGGTCATCTAATCCAACCCCCCTGCAGTGAGCAGGGGCATCTTCCACTAGCCCAGGTTGCCCAGAGCCCCATCCAACCTGAACTTGAATGTTTCCAGGGATGGGGCATCTACCACCTCCCTGGGCAACCTGTGCCAGTGTTTCACCACCCTAAAATATTAAATTATATTATTAAATTATAAAACACAGCCTGGTGTGACCTCCCGAGCCTGCGAAAAAGCAGCAAACAATAGAAAACATTTCTTCTGCCTCAAAATCTGGTGTTCTCTTCCCCTGGTGTGCCGGGAAGCTCTCAGAGGTGGCTGCCTGGTAGGTTTGTCCTTGAGATATTCATGGATATTGATCTTCTCCACATGTGCTATCAGCAGAGCATTGCTGATCTTGTCCCAGCGAGGACCTGGATCCAAACCAGCCGTGCCGGTGGTCAGGATGTTAGTGTTGGGGCTTGGGGCAGGGCTGGGGCTCAGATGGGTGGAGCTCAATGGCTTTTCCTGGGTGCTGGGGGGAGCAGGGGATGCTGCCTGGCACCGGAGTGAGGTTCCTCTGGCCACAAGCTGGCACCTTGCTCCAAGCTGGTCAGCAGAGGGTGGGAATCAGCTGTTGGGCTTTCTTAGGGCAATTTTCCCCTTCCCCTGTAGCACATGGTGCGTGCACTGCAGCACATGCATCATCCGCTTGCTGCATCCCCGCTCCCCTCTGCTTTCTCCCCCAGATGCTCAAGTCGCTGAAGAAGGCGATGGCGCCGGTCCTGAGTGATGTGTCGGTGGAGTGGATCTTTCCTGAGAGCACCGAGGTCTTGGTTTCCCCCGTCAACACCAGTTGCCTCTTCCCCGGTGACCGCCTGGTCGGCTACGGCATCGTCTGTGACACCTCCCCGTACATCGCCAACCCCAGATCGGTGGGTCCAACGCTGCGCTGGTGCTGGGGCTGACCCCAGAGCAGGGGGTGTTGGTGTGCATGGACACAAGCCAGCATCTTGGCTCTTTGTGTGTGGTCAGGAGATCATAGAATCATTAAGGTTGGAAAAGACCTCAAGGATCAAGTCCAACCGCCAACCCAACACCACCCAACCCACTAACCCATGTCCCCAAGCACCACATTGACACGTTTCTTGACCCCCTCCAGGGATGGTGACTCCCCCACTTCCCTGGGCAGCCTGTTCCAATGCCTCATCACTCTTGCAGTGAAGAAATTTTTTCTAATATCCAGCCTAAACCTCCCCTGGTGCGGCTTGAGGCCATTGCCTCTTGTCCCATCACTTGTTCCTTTAGAGAAGAGGCCAGCACCCACCTCACTGCACCCTCCTTTCACGTAGTTGTAGAGAGATGTCTCTTGCTTTCTCACTCTGTCCTCAAGTGAGATGGTGGGTGAGACATCTGGGAAAAACAGGAGCTCGGTGGGGAAGGGCAGCGGTGCAGAAGCTCTGGGCTGGGAGATGGCTGACGGACACGGTGGTAGGACCTATTCCTTCTCTTTGCTTTCCCCCAGGACAAGAGGCGCCGTTACAGCATGATGCGCTCCCAGGAGTCGGGCAGCTCTGTTTTCTTTCACTCCCAGGAGGAGGGAGCAGGTTTGGAGAGCTGGAACCACTCCCGAGACTCGGAGGGCGATCACCTGGTGGTGGGCAGAGATCCTGAGGGAGAGTCGGACACGGACACCGGTCAGGTTCTCCTCTGCACAAGCGTGGGTGGGATGCTCCTGTCTTTCTAATCAAGCTTCTGGCACTGCTCTGCCGATTTGCTTGTCTGACAAATGCGTCTCTTCGGCAAAGAGCCGGAGGGGTTTGCGGGAGGGATGACAGACCCCCCTGAGGCTCAAGTGGGGGTGTTGGGTTTGGATGTTTTATCCAAACCTGTCAGGAAATCAAGGGGAGCCCTGGAGAATTTCAGAGCAGCTCTGCTTTGGCCACAGAATTATTTCCAAGCTTCCCAAGCCGCCCTTGGAGAGAGGAGGGAGCAAATGGGTGTCCCAGCCAGACCATCCCTGCTCCTGCAGAGCTTCCCTGCAAGCCCTGATATTGTGGTTTGAGATCAGGAGAGGAGGGAAATGGATCCAAAGCCCTGTCCCCAAAGTGTCACCCCTCGCCACCAGTGCTGGGTGTTTGTATCAGCAGCAGAAAGTGGCTGCTGGCGCCCCGGAGCTGGGTGCTTTTCCCTGCTGCAAGGAAAGCACTCACGGGATGCTCTTCCCTTAGATTCAGAGGGGAGCTGAGCTGTGCATCTCAACCTTGTCAAAAGCGATGAGAAATCACGCCGTTCCAAATGAGATTTTACTCTTGCTCTGACAGGAGAATGTCTGCGCTAATGAAATTTCATTAGTAAACCCTTCGTCTTTCTCCGGGGAGGTTTGGGGAAATGCAGTCAGGCTTTTTTTTGGGTTGGAAACTGCTCAGACGAAACCTCCCCAGCCTGCTCTCCTGACATCCCAGGAGTTTTCAGTGTAGGCTCTTATTACCTGTCATGGTTTATTGCTTTGCTTAAAACCGAGCAGGGCTGAGCGTGACCCCCACAGCCCCGGGAGGTCCAAGGGGTGAGCCCAGGGTGGATGATGCTGGCCGGTCCTGCTCCGGAGCAGAGCTGATCCTCTCTCCCACCCTGCAGGGATGGACGTGAAGTCTTCCTCCCAAAGACGAGCGTACAGCACCACCCAAATCGCCGACCACGAGCCTTGCAAGAAAATGCCGACAGCCAGCGATCCTGGCACCGCCCTGGTGAAAAACCCCCTTCGCAAAACCCAGCTGCAGGACCTGCAGCAGGTCAGCCCCGAGCCCTGGCAGGGGGATTTCCAGGTACGTGACCCCCGGCCAGGCTGTGCCTGCATCATGGAATCCCAGG